GTCATGTTAGAGTGTTGTTACTTCCTCAAAAAACTACCTGGAACTGTGTTTTCTTTCAATCACACAAGTTTGAGTAATACTTCATTATTAGTTTGTCTGCATCTTCAAAGTTCAAGGTGTGTTTTTGATGAGGAAACAACATTATAACATATGTCATATTTTGGATTTACTAAGATTTTTCATTCTATATGATTACGCTTTGTACTTCTTGACATTGTTTATACAACTGTCAATTATACAAGAGAAGATACTACAGCTTCAGCAGATACAGCTGACAAACTACACACAACTTTTATAATGACGGTTCTGCCTTCCTGTCTTCATGTAGACATGTTAAACAGTATGGCTTTAAATGTAAGTTACATGTTTTTATTGCTCAAAAATACCATGGAAAAACTTGTTTTCTTACTATGGATGTTGTTCCCTCTCCACAGATCTGACCTGTAACCCGACCTGACGACCTCACCTGTTTGCATCTCTACTGGGATGGGACACTAGAAAAGTTACACTGTGCACGTTGAAACAGTAATAACAACTTTATTTAAATGACTTACTTACTTGTAGTTAAAGAATACCAATTTCTGTTAAATGTTAATAATAGGCCTACCTGGAAATGAACATCATTACTCATAACAGCTTGTAACACTTTCTCTTCTATAGGCAAAATATGTGATTTTCTGCCTATTTCTGATGCATGAGGGCACAGTTTGATTGGAGCAAGGTGACTGGAAGTGCACCTGTGTATATTTGACAAAGTGGAAAACTGTTTTGCATTTTTCAATTTCACTCACTGTGACAGAGCCCAAATTAAAAGTCAGATTATGCACCAGCGCCACTCATGTTATTTTTAGAGACAGTTGTTAAAGATGGAGATCACATTTTAGGCTTTCATTTGAATTTTCCGACTGAAGATTCTGCGTCTGACATAATTGTTATTGTGGATTCCTACAGCATCATTAGAGGGATCATTAAAGGGATGTGAGTCAATACCCCAGTCCCAAGCATGGAAAAATGAAGTACTACAGATTCAAGGCAGTACATACAAGGTCAAAACCAAGCAAGTTAATTAGAAGAGTACAAGAAAAGATAGCTGTATTACAACAACATTACAAACCAATAAAAACAGAGATACTCATTAGAAAATTAACATTAACTGTGGAGTGTAGATAGAACAAAACTCACTATACTGGAAACTGATCGATCACTATTTAACTGTATATACTTGTATGTATATACACATAATGTACATTTGTTGAACGCATAAGAGGCGGCTTGGTTTTTATTTCTGTCTCAGAGAAGTTTTAACCTTGTCATCACTGGCTCCCTTTACTCTTCCTATAAAACAAGAGTTATACATGTAAACGAAATATCAAATCAAGACACTGTTGACAGCTACAACTGCAAGTCATTTTGAGTTATGCTGAGAAATAAACCAGCAGCAGTGGGTAGAGCAGAAAAAACTTGTACTCATAACATTAGTTCAAAAATAATATTACTCAATTAAAAGTAGTGGTCCAAGAAAGTGCTTGACTAAGAGTAAAAAAGAACTATAACTAAAGTAAGAGTAACTGAAAAAAGCTGTTAGGATGTAACATCTGATTTAGAATTTTAAGTTAACGTGATTTGATGGACAAAACATTAAATAATACACAAAACCTGGTATTTGCAGAGGAAAAACACAAAAATGAGACATACTAAATCCTATCTGATGGAGTGCTGCAACAAACACAAATGTTCAAATCATTTAATATTGTCAACATAAAGATTTTGTCACTCGTGCAGTATTTTAAAGTAGTGTTTCTCAGTTAATCAAGTCAATGTAAAAAAGGAAATGTAACTGAGAACAGTCAACCTCTGTAAACCAGTTGTAAGCTTTTCAGAGAAAACCATTTGTATTTGTGTGTCCGTGTGTGAGTGTGTGAGCGTGTGTATGTTAATGTGTCTGTGTGCATGTGTGTAATCTGTTAAATGGTGCTACGAGAAACAGCTGGAGGACACAGTTTGGTTTTAGATTTAATTGTAGTGTTAAAATGTGAGGCAGAATACATGGAGAAAATTATGTAGTGTTTTGCTATTTTAAAATATGCCAAATTGATTTCATTGTCATAATTTGATCAACTAGCACTGGTGTGTGTCATACTTAACCTGCATGCTTAAGTAAGGTTTATATAACTTAATAAGATGGATCATGTCATAATATAATGATATACTGTAGCTTTAAGGCATAGTGGTCTATAATATAAATTTATGTAAATGTTAAAAAAGCCCACATTATGTTACCTATTGCAAAGATCGTATTTATGACTACTTCTACTGCTATCTATTACTGTTACTCTGATTATTACAGCTAATAACAATGTATTTTGCAACAACAATCTATATTTTATGTGTATAAGGCTACAGTTCACCTTTACAGTGTTCCTCCAAACCATGTGTGACTCTTGCTCTCTTCTCTCACTTCTACCAAACACAAGAGTGAGTGTTAAACTAAGTTAGATTAAGCACATTGTATATTGATTGGCTGGAAAATTACAGCACAATACATGACAAATAATCCCATTTAGAGTCCCAACACTTGTTTCTAATGGTTTTCAAATCATTTCGGTCAGGGATAGATCACATTGAGTTTAGCGTTTAGCAGCAGAGGAGTGGCTGTGCATGCCTGAGTGTGATTTGGGGCTGTGGCTGTAGCCTCTGTCTGTTGGAGTTTGACATTTCTATTCTCTGGACAGCTCCTTTTGTTCAGCCCGCGGCGCCTGCTCCCTCCACTCCCTCCCACCTGTGGAAATAAAGAGGAATTTCACTGTTAGACACATCAGAACAGCTCAAGATGAGAACAGAAATGTGTAAGGATTTGTTACCTTGGATTGATTGAAGTCTGGTGACTGTGTATAACCTTTCTATGCCCAGTAATGTACCATGTTCCCTGTATAAAAGATTTATATAATGTTTTGGGTATATGATATTCTTCCATCAAAATATTGATATCCATGTATCCTATGTAGCTATAATCTATGACACTCATGGATCATTATTTACATTGCGATATTTATTTAAAACAAAATGGCGGTGCCCAATGAGAGCTGATATCACTGTAAAATAGCCAGGCTGGCACCACATAGTGCCTCCGCTCAATTTCATTTCTCTCCAGCAACTAGGTCAGGAATCAAAATAGACGGTTCGCAAAAACCCTGGAAGTGCAAGTTCGGGCACCATCCAATCAGCAAAGAGCCATACATTCAGTGTTGTCAACGATTTCCGAGATCGAGGATTTAAAGCCAGAATAAAGAGAATGTTTGGTGAATTTCATCAAGGGGAAAGACGTTATTGCCCTAAGCTTAATATGCCAGTTAGTCCCGTTAGTGGCGCATTACATATGTGACAACCAAATAGCAGCGATTGGTTAAATGATAAAAAGTACCCGCCAACCATCGTGCGTGAAGTGAAAACGGCTGATGAATCAGACTAACCGTAAACATAATCACAACAAAGAGTCTGACGTTGCCATAAACTTCATAACAACAAAGAGTCGGACATTGCAGAAAACGTCATCACAACGAAGTCTCACATCGCCGTAAACTTCATCACAACAAAGAGTCTGCACCTCTGAAAGATAGCTGCACATCATTTGTACCAAAATTACTTTGTGATGCTGCTGAATCCTACATGTATCACTAATTAAGAAAATAAAATTGGAGAATGAATTAAGTACAAAACAGTCAGTGACTATGCCGGTGGAAATAAAACTGGGAGTTGCTGAAAATAAGTGATTCAAAAATTTTCAAAAATACAACTCTGTGTGAGTAAAGGAGTAGAGGAAACAACTATAACATGGTGAAAATCCTCAGAAATTTGCCAATGACATATGTAAGTCTTAGCAAAACCATCTCCATGGAAACATGTAAGTAGATGACTCTTCACCAGTAAAATTACACAGTGCACCTTTAATTTGGTGGGTTTAAAATTTATTTTAATAAATTATTTAATTATTTAATTTAATTCTGTTTAAACTGACAAGGAATGTATTACACAATGTAGCCTGCCATTGAACAGCATGATGGAAAACTCCTAACTCCTACTGAGAACATATCTTTAAACAGATTTATTTCCTTTTTTGTCATTTTGCTTTCACTGTAGAAAAAACAAAGAGAGAATAAAGGTAGACAGCATGCATTCGATTTACTCAAGCTGAAAATCCACTGCACCAAATCCACCACAGTAGCTCAGGCCTGAAAACCTATGCAACGCTAAATATCAGTATGTTGTCATAATTACTCCCAACACATTTCTCTAACAATAAAGAAGGAAGTTAAAATAAGTGGTTGGTCTGTATGAAAATGTAATTGAAAACCAGTGGGGGGTTGACATTCACTCATTTTGAAATATGTTCATTAACAAGAGAAGACTGAAAGCCTTATTTAGAGTGATGATGAAGTGTGAACACAATCCATCAACTTTTTTCAGTCTGTCGGAAACTGAAATACACTGTACTGAGTATTAATTATACAGTCAAATGTAAAATGCTGATTTATGGGCAGGACCTACATGACTGCTTTTGTGTTAAAACTGCTTGGAATTAAATATTAAAGTTAAACCCAGAACGACTATGGATAAAATAAGAAAATTCAATTAAAACTAGATATGCAGTCAGATAAAGCATTTCCTAAATAACTGTTTCAAAACAACACATTTAAAACTGAATTGCTAATGAAAACCAACAATTAAGGCAAAATACAGAACAGAAATGATTTGTTTTTCCTGTTATAAATCATAGATTAAAACTAAATATGCTTCTTGGATGATTCAAAGTAAACCCCCTCCCTTTTTCTTTTGACAAGAGTAAGGCAGAATTAAAATGTAGTGGACTCAGTCGCATTGGTTAGATGCTACTAAAGGGCTGCAATAGTTATAAATAGTAATATCTACAGTAATCGACCCTCCCAACTCACTGTTTTATTTACAAATATACAATATAATTCATGAATCATTCAAATGCATGATTGTAGCATAGGGTTGAATTTATTTAAACAAAAAAAATCTTGGTTTAATCTAATGAAGCACATGAGAATATCACAGTATCAGTTAGTTCAGAGATACAACTTTGCATATAACATAACCTGCTTGTTTTCCAAATATTTGAACTCTGAAATTCATACACACAATTTATTCAGTAACTTTAATTGTAATTTGATTTAGGCAATTTTACTTAAGCAGTTAAAAGGTCTCTGAAAAGTAAATTTTCAGTTTTTTCAAATGTATCAGACATAAAATACTAAGCAATAAAGATCACATTGAATTAACTAGTGTAACATGAATACTAAGATTGAACGGTCCAATCTGGAATAGAAAAGGTCTTGGACTGTCTTTTCTGTTCTCCAGCGGTGTAGTCCACGTGGATACAGATGTGCCTGTCGCTGTGCTCCGAGGGGTACATCCGCACCTCTCCTGTAATGACCGTGTCTTGAACCACATTCACGGGACAGTCCAGATACAGCACCGCTTGTTTCCAGTGCGTCTCCGGATTGAACGGAGAGGTCGACAGAACCACGGGCTGCTGCGGCTTATCCGGACAGGGGAACGTCACCGTGAACCACACACAGAAAGAGTTCACGGACGCGCAGCCAAAACACGAGCATTTGAAGTGTCCTTTCACCTCACGCAGCTCCTCTGTGGTGATTGTGTTCAAATCCAGCTCCGCAAAACGCGCAGGGTGAGACAGCACATCCTCCACAGTCACCGGATTCACGGCGATATCGGAGTTCATTATGCACTTTTTGGCGAAGTCGTGCATGCAGGACATATCCACGCCGTACTGATCTTTCACGGTGTACCAAAAGTGCAACCGGTCCTCCACCACCAGGTCAAACATCGGCGCAATGTACAGCTCCGCTTTGCTCGGGAGGATGAGACCACCGGGCTTTCGCAGCCACTTATCCCGCGCGTAAAGCACCGAGTTGAGCATGGATTCGTGAAGCAGTGCGTAACCCATCCACTCGCTCACGATCACGTCCACGGGCTCCGGGAGGTCCACTGTCTCCACGGTGCCGCGAATAACTTCAATTTTATCCTCCATGTTGTTATGTTTGACTATTTTAACAGCTTGTTCCGCGATTGAACATGCTTCCACCGCGTACACTTTCTTAGCACCGGCTTGGACACAAAACATGCTCAATACGCCGGTGCCAGCCCCGACATCCAGCACCACTTTATCCCGGATAGACTCGCTGTTCCTTAGTATAGCCGTCCTGTACGTGCCGGTGCGGACGTGGTCGGCTATCATCTCTTCGTGGATGGTCACGTCGGAGTAGCTGTCAAAATACAGACGATCCTGGCGGCTTTTGTCAAGTTTTCTTTTCTTTCCAACGTGAGACATCTTGGCTTCGCTGCGGTTCGGTGCTACATGTGCTATTTTTCTACCCGTGTTGTGTTTTCGCATACTTCCGGGTTGTCAAAACTGGGATTTGTAGTTTCTGTAGACGGCGGGAGACACTAAACAGAATTGAACCTGACTAGAAAAAGACTACATTTCCCATAAACATGCGCTACTGCTTGTGTTGAATGGATGAACGAACGGGGAAAGGACAATGAATGAATGAAGTAAATAGGCCGACACGTTATACGCTATAGCACTTATGAATCAAAATTAAAATTGTTAAAGGTGCCCCATGTGACATTTCTGTAGGAGGCTCAACATGTCTCCATGGAGATGATATTGCTTTGCCCGGAATTCACAACACAATATTATTAATATTCACAATAGGACATTAAAGATTAAAGTATCCATCTTGCATTTAGGTTATTTAATTACTGTTTTAGTGTTAGTTTTTTTGTTTTTTAGCAGGGTCACCTCTCTACAGATCTGACTTGCAACATGGCCTAGCGGTGTCACTTGCCTACATAGATATAGACGTAGATAAAGTTACAGTCTCACTGAGGAGGCAAAACACTTACATCCCTACGGAAACAAGCAGGTGGCATACCCTACACCAGAAAAGTTGCTTATAGCACCTTTAAGTTTGGTCAGCTTTTTGTGGTGGTTTTAAGTTTGTTTAATTCACACATGTTTTATAATTGCTTCATTGTCTCATGTTTAATCCTCGTGTAAAACCCCAGCTTTAACACATGCAGTTATTTCTGTTCAAAAGCAGCTGAAGCTCATGGTTACCAGTGTATTCCTGTTCATAATTAATACCCAGTTTAATTGCATCTGGAGCGTGCAGATCTAACAGCTCCACACAGTGAGACTTGAGCAGTTTCTTCTCTGTGTGAAGTTATGGCAGACAGAACACAGCTGCTTTTCTCCTCTCTCCTATGGGACCCTCAGCCGTCTGCTCAAACCACGTCCGACAAAATCTGCTACTGCTGCTACTGGACAAATGAGAAGAAACCATTTTGCACAAACAAACAAAGAGGAGCACTGTAGAAGAGCCAACTGGCAGGCTACTGTACGGTTAACACTTTCATAGCCCACTGAAGTGAAGAAACAGCTGAGCCAAGATTTTGCAAGTATTTTGTTGTAATCATATTTTGTTCATTTATTAGTATGGAAGCTGTTTGAAATTACATCTCCATGAAAGGCAACAATAATTTATTCAGTTTTCAATAATAACACCATTCATATGTTTTTTTTTTAAATTATTATTATTATTCAGTGTTGATGAGTACAACATCCCTATACATAAAATATGCAGAAGTACATTTTCCATTCATTTTTTCATAGACTTTTTTTGTTTGTTTGTTTTCAGTCCAAAACGCACATTTAAAACACAAGATTCTGCACTTTTTTTTTTAAATAACTAAAGCTCCTGCCTACACCTGGTCAGTGACTTACTAAGTATTTGATTTGATTGTTCTACATACTGAATATGTTTTATTTTATGACATCAGATTGTAATGTATGTAGACTGTAGTGAGTTAAACACTGACCAAATAAACACATGAAACATGAAATTTAGTGGTTTATAAAGTTTCAGAAACAGATTTATGATAAAATTATGGGTCTTTAATATATATTTTCAGAAAGTTTATACAAAAAAAATTAGGAGAAATTTACTTCTGTAACCAAGCGGTGGGCGGTCGCTGTTGAGTTCCATTCCCAAATTGAATTTTTACATAATAACACAACTTGATTACATAATTTTTTTTTTTATATTCCTTGTTAGAAATGTATTTTTGATAAATTTATCGTTTTTGCTTGGTGAATAAATTAGAGAAATTGCACATCAGCACAGTGGTGGCGCCAGATATTTTTGGTTGGAGGAAATTTTGTTCTTCAATTTTATGGAAGCAAGTTTACCCCCCCACACCTACCATTTTTGCTTTGCTGTTTTAAACACGTTTAAATGTATGCCTAGTTGGTCCCTGTAGTGATTTATAAACCCCAATATGGAGTTCTTTATTGTGGTCTCATTTGGTTGGTTGCCATTTGAACATTTTTAGTCAAGGTTGGATGCCCTGTGAAAATGGCATTGGCATCAGTGCAATTTCTCTTGTAATATGTCTATCTATGGGTTTTAGAATGATGAGTCAGTTGCCATAGCAATTAGCTATTTAAAACTAAGTATTACACCTTGGGAAGGATCAAAATTCCTCAAAGTGTTGCCAACAAACTGGAACAAACATAAATCTAGTTAAACCTAGCACAGGTTAAACCAAAAACATAATATTGTAGCCTTAAGATGAATATAGCGCAGGCTCACTGTGTTGATGTGGGTGGTGAGATAGTGCCTTGTGCATATTCACACACTCAGTCTAAATCTGAATCCAGTGCTCTCTTCTAAAACTCAGACTCACCAGGGAAACAAGTTCTTCAATCATTTAGATGAGGCTAAATACATATTTTATTTCAGCTTTGTGCTCATTAATCCTGAGAAAACTGTTTATGAAGAACATACGTTTAGTTATATTGTCCAAATCCACTTTATTCATATAGCACATTTTATAAACAAGACTAAACTAGCTAAAGGTTTTAAATGCTCAATTTGATATTAGTCTTAAAACAATAAAACTATACATAGATAAGTAAAACACATAAAGACACAAATAAAGACTGAACGACAGCACTGCAAAAGAGTGACACTTCAAAGATGACAGCTTGAAGAAAGTACCTGTTCACAACAATTTTAGGAGCAAAGAGTAAAGTAAAATCCAGCGGGTGGTACAAAAGGAGAGATTACCAGAGTGTGAAATACAGACAGTGGTTCAGAGCTCACTGTATCCAGCCACAGACAGACAGCTGCTGTGACAGTGTCCTCCTCTTACTGTCAAATTCCAGGTGCAGTCTATAACTTACTTCAACTGAGAAAAGACAGAACTGCAGTACAACTTACAGTACCGGGATACAGGAGGTTATACACGATGGTATGACATTTAAGAAGAAAAATACATCCTGCCTCAGCCCAAAACAGTAATTTATTCATTAAAGGCCCTACACTACCGGTTAAAAGTTTTAGAACATCACACTTTTTCCAGGTTTTTACTGTTTAGTGTTGACTAGGGATGTAACGATATCCAACTCTCTGCATTTCATAGTATGACATTTATTGCGATACTTTGGAGAGGCTGTAATAATTGAAGATAGGACTCATTTTTTGCTTTTAAAATACTCTGACAAGATTTTGGTGTGAATTATTACTGTCATAATCCCAAGAATTCAAGTAAAAAACATATAACTTCATGTTGTCTGCACTGAAATGAATCATGGGATATGTAGTTCCTGATGTTTATTAGCTATTGCTACTATAAAAAATGCATTTAAGCAAAGGAACTTGTCATTCAATAAACTGTGACAGCACATGGTATTATTGTGAGACTTTTGACGAGATGATATCACGATATTTCGGTTATTGTTACATCCCTACTGTTGACCAAAATGTATTCTACACATTTGATTCATGAAAGTGTCCATCTTTTGGCAGATATAAAAGCTGAGCACACTCGTGGCTCGTTCTTTTTACAATAGAAATCAAATATTCTTCAGAAAGTTCTTCCCAAGTCTGTTGCAGAAGTTCCTATAAATGTGTGACACTTGTAGGTTGCTTGGTTTTCACTCTTCTGTCCAGTTCATCCCAAAACCAGCTCGATGGGGTTTAAGTCTGGAGACTGTGCTGGATACTCCATGTTTTCAAGCTCACCATCTTTTTCCTGAGGTAGTTTTAGCAGAGCTTGGACTTGTGGTTTGTTATCTTTTATCTTTTTTTTTAACCTCTGGCTGTTCAGTACTATCCTTTGTACCATTTCAACCTATTCATTGGACTGGCTTGACTTGAATTGCAATAAATAACTGGAAAAATTAGGGTCTAAAACTTTTGACCGGTAGTGTATATACTTCCTTTAAAGATGAACCATATAACTTTTGGGATGGGATGCTGTTACTGGAAAGTTCCACAGTATAGTACTGATCTAATCAGTCTTGCATTATTCAGTCCAAGGTGTTATTATTGCTAAAATACATTTTGAAAAATAAGCCCTGCATTCTTACTGTGAGGTGGGACTGTCTCTCCAACCTCTCCACTTTGTCTCCTGACCTGTACCTTGACCTGGTGTAGCCACATGCTGGTCTCCATGGAGCTGGACAAGCAAAGCAGTAACATCTCCAAGGAAACAAGCTTGTGGCAGATAATCAAACAGAAAAATTGCATAGTGTACCTTTAAACATTGTTGGTGTTACAGGAAGGTTTTGCATTCATTTTCTACAGTTCACCACTAATTGCTTTATTTATTTGGTCTAGTGCTCCAAAACCTGTAATTTCCAAATTTTATACAAACAAAAAACCTTTTGACACGGAGAATAAGCGGAAATAAAGTCACAGCAATAGTGATAGTTCTTTTAAAATATAAGACTGTTTATTTATTGGTGAGATGGACCAACCTTGAAAACAAGCCACCTCTGTAACCGCGCAGAGGAGGGCTGGTAGAGCAGAGCAGCCTTCCCCAGCTGTATTGTTGTTGTGAGTTGGCCAGATGCTGTCGACACGCACGGCCCCATGGGAACTACTGCTCCTGTCAGCGCACCGGCCCTGTCAGCCTCTGCAGCACAGCACACACGCTATAACAGGCCCAGCTCTCACTATTGTTCAGTGTGTTTAGTATGTATGCATGCAATCACAGGACACGACTGGCATGCACACACGGGCTCCCAAGGGTCCCCAAACACTACAGATCATGTTGAAGAGGGGTTTGGGAGACACTTATCCATATTCAGTGGACAACCTACAGCAGATGTACAGTCAGTATGTGCGGTGGAGCTGTATGGGCAAGCAAATGTCTAAATCTAAGCAATAACCTGGGTACATGATGCAAAATGAAGAAATTAAAATGACATATTAGTAAAAAGTAAAACTGAATTGAAAAACGGTAAAACTCAGGCTTTTTGTGCTGTTATAAAGACTATATTCTCAAACATTTCACACGTAAAAAA